GCTGTTTCTGATGGTCCCTCAGGTTTTCCCCCGGTTATGGGTGCAGATGGGCCCTATTTCAGTTGTGACAGTCCATGAAAGCGGCCGGCTCCATATGTGCGTCCTGGTCTGTTGTCGCAGCATGCCCAGCAAATGGCAAGGATAAGAGCGTGGATGTCGGTTGCGTCTTGGTAGGACGCTATGTTCTTTTCTGCTGGAATGAGCGTTGGAGTTTTGTTGTTATAATTGGCATCTTTCGACGACGGGCTGGGAGCAGATGGTATGTTCGCCCATTTATGCAGGATGTCAGCTACTCGATGCGGTAAGACGCTGATTCCGATGCCACAAGGGTTTGAGTCGAGGATGAGGACGGAATTGTTCGTAGACTCTGTACTACGCTGGACGTAAGATAACACGCTCTGCTCCGGATCTCCTTCCACTTTTCGAGAACGAGGTTCCTTCAGAGTCATAAGCAGATCCATCAAAGCAGAGCGTCTTTCAACTTCTGCACGTTCCTCATCACCATTATCAGTTTCCTGGGGTTCGCCGTTGTTCCGGAGCGTTGCTCGACTTCGCCACCAGGCCGACCACTTAGGAAAGCGTGTTGATGTTCAACGGCGGCTCCATTAAGACGACGCAACTACACTGCCCGTGCAGTTGAATGTCATCTGTAGATGTTGGACAATCTGATCATTGGTGCGGTTATTGGGATCTGACGCAGAGCATAGCAAGTCTGAGCAGAGCAGGTCTTCCCATTGCGTCAGTGGGTGGTCCATTGAATGCATCATTAAGCCCGTAGAAGTGTTTTTTCATAAGTGAGCAGCCACAATTGTGTCCGCGGTAGAGGCAATTGTTGCACTTGTTACCCAGCCCGCCGGAAATGCAATCCACGAAGGAACGCTCAGTCACAAATGGGTCAAAATCATCGGCACTCTCCTCAAAGGTGTAATCCGTGATAGCTGGTTGTCCGATAGTTACGGCCTCAGGTGTATCATCGGCGCTATATGAACACTTCGCTCTGGGGTAATCTGATCAGAAGACCCAGGTTACACAGTAGACTTGGAGGATTCTTCCTGAGGACTCTCGGTTTGAACTTCAGGCTCAGGCTGTGCAGTCCATCCGGCGGACGTATATAGAGCTTGCTCTGGAGACTGGCGAGGGGCACCAGTGTATATTGTTGGTACTCATCGTATTTATCGCGAGTGTCACTCTTCAACGTGTTTGTCAGCAGAGCATAAGCTGTGTTTTACAGGCTCGTAGTGGCCTCTATCCAGCGGACACCTCGGTCCATGTCGATCCAACCACGATGCTCGATGTTCGCTTCTCAGTACGAACGATCCCGAGATATGGGAACAAAGGTCGACACTTGGTAGTCGCTTCAGGACTTGAGGCCGCTTCTTGCTGGCGCAACGGGTTTCCCGCGCATCACGGACAAATAACGAGTTGCAAAAGACGAAAACGATTTTGGGGAAAAAAGAGGCTCTAGTAGCCGAAGGTTTTGTACGAGCAACAAATGATTAAGTTAATGTTCAGCCTTGCCAGTGACTTGATTAGTTCTGGTCTTCTGCGCAATGTTGAGGATGAGGACGATTTTGACATGTGGACGACCGGCCATCACCCACAGTCGCATTGCCCAACAAGTCGTCTGTGTAATGACCTCCTGAGCCATCACCCTCAGCTCGGACACGTCGAGAGAAAGTACTGTGCCAGGATTCTGGCCAGCTACTACCAATGGCCCGAAGAGCTGGCCTTTGGTAAACTCAATGCGTTCCCTTGCGGGCTGACTCGGATCAGCCAAACTCAATGACGAATGAAGGCTAGTACCGGTTGTCTGGCGGGATACAGAAGTCTGGGTTCTTTCGTGAGTTTGTATAAGGCTCTGGCAACACATTGAATATAACCATAACCTGAATTTCAATGCGAGTAGGCTCTCGATCCCAGGCGGACCGGCAGGGACGTATAACCAGCGCAATAATGCATTGATATGTTGCTCCCAGGCGGTATTTGACCACCTTTTTCACCCAGAATGACTCGACCTCAGATTCATCCGGTCTGTCAACATTGATGCCCACTTCTACTGACGGGGAATCGGTTGGGAAAGCGGCCCCATACTGGCCATGGGTTGCACCGGTTGAATATTTGTAGGTCAGAGAGGTTTGGTGTAGGGAGGCATAGGCGTGTCATGCACTATCGGTTCAACGTGTTTCCAGTTGTCGAAGACATGTTTCCTATTTATATCAAAGGATTTCTCGACATGGTAGTCATAGACAAACCGGGTTTCTTTTACTCCAGCCAGCAGACTCGTCCAATGGCGTCAACAAGACTCTTCCGGCTTAGTGCGCCACCTCCTCAGCTGCCGATAGAAATGCCAGCAGTGCCAGGCATAGGCTTCGGAGGTGAGTCTCCTTCTTGATGCTCCAAGGTCCAAAGGACTGCATCTTCATAAATTCCTCTGGTTCGGAAGTGGTGGTCGAGGCGGTCCTCTCCAGGTCCTCTAACGAGTACCTGGGGCCATGAGGGGGAGGAATACTTCCTTATAGCCCTGGTAAATTATGAGGCGACTGATCTGTTAGCCATGTTAAAAAAATCATGTGATAGTGGTAGATATCTCTACCTCTTGTCCTGGAGCTCCGGAACTCCCCCAGATCGGTGCTTGAGCCATCCAACGGCCTCTGCCGTCTCCTGCATCTGAACAGGAGCATCCTTAACGAACCTAGGCATTGGCTTTACCTCCAAGAGGGACAGAACAAGTTCTATCCTCCTGCACCGATCAACAATAGTAATTTGTATGATTGTGTCCCAAATTTGGGCACATACCGGACACTTTGCAGCGGCTGCAGTAGTCCAGAAATCTGGCACCCGCAAGTCAGACTTTGCGCCCCATACTCAAATGACTCCAGCCGATTTGTTTCCGGTAGTCAGTTGAATGCATTAAGGGAGTCCGTCTGGACGTGAGGTCCATATTCAAGCATCAACCTGGCCATAGTCATCAGCTTCATTCAAGCTCTTGAGGGCTCATTCGACGTGGGCAGTTCTTTAGACAATCAAGTCAAGAACAGCTATAGGTTATGTCGGCGTAGACATATTATTAGCATTAAGTCATGGTAATCAGCTATAGAAGCATCCGTAGTTGTCCGTGTACAGCAACTGGAAAAGAATGCAGATTCTATATTGAAGAGAGGTGGTTGAATATTAGGAAGATGGAATCATGGGGGAGAAGCATCTTTATATACCATCAGCCTGGCAGCTTTTCTACCTTCTGATAAGTTGCAATAAAAGAACTAGTGAATGGTGAGATGCCTCTTACTTCACTGACAAGTATCTTTGTCACTGTTCTGAGCTGCTGCTAGAGTTGTGTGAATACTTCTACAGGCTTTATGTTTAGTATCAAAAAGTTAAGAAGACGATCGATAAGAGATAAAGCCGATGATAGCCTGATAAGCGATACCCAAACGGGACAATCTCCCAGAAATGGACGGAAGTCGCCGTTGACCACACAATGTAACGCTAGAAAGTGGGGAGAGAGAGGGGGGAGCCAAACAACATGGCCGTTTATTTCTCTTGTTCAGCTTCTCATTCTGGGGCCTGACTGCTGCATTGAACTCCTTGAATTCTACTCTTAACTAGCCAAAGATGGGTGCAACCGACGTGCCACAGGCCCAAGCGGTCACAGTGAGTCTCCAGGAGCTTGTCAATGGTGAGTTGATCATCTGCAAAGAACACTGCCGTTTCAAGCTTCAGCTTAATAGGATCATGGAGCTGATACAACTTCTTGGTCTAAGGCACGGTCTCTTTCGAAACCCTGACAGAAGCCTTTGGTCCATCCTCGCTGGGAATCATCGTCGTCAAAGATCTGGACCCGGCATTTACTCGTCTCCGCGCCGAAGTCCTCTCCAACGCTTCTTACCTCGCGGCGCTTCCAAACGATGAGCTAGGTCCGTCCGACTTGCACCCTCGTATCTACAGACTCAAATTGACAGACAATAGAATCCCTCACCAGCCCCGCAGCCAAATACCTCGTCGGCTGGTCCTGCGGCAAAGAAACCCTTCGGTCCGGCCACTTCGACACCCTCAAAGGCTCCTACTACGTCAACTGTGCCTTCTACCAGAACCCCGACCTCCAAGGCGCCCCCGCAGACAACTTCCCGGATCTCTCCGAATACACAGCCCCCAACATCTGGCCGCCAGCAGACCGTCTCCCGAACTTCCGCCGCAGCCTCGAGGAGCTCTGCAAGCTCATCATCGACACGGCCGCGCTCGTCGCCCGCGCCTGTGACCGCTACGCCCTCGCCAACATCGACGGCTACAAGGAAGGATACCTCGAGCACGTGGTGAAGACCAGTCTGACGACCAAGGCCAGGCTGCTGCATTACTTCCCTACCGACCCTGCCGCGGCCGCTACCGCCGACGACGCAGGCGACGATGATGACTGGTGCGCGACGCACCTCGACCACGGTTGTCTCACCGGTCTGACGTCCGCCATGTTCGTCGATGAGGCGGCTAACCCCCCTTCGTTGACGGATGCCTCGGCGCCGCTGGCGGGACTGCCCCAGTCGCCGGACCCCAAGGCGGGCCTGTACATCCAGTCCCGCACGGGCCAGGTCGTCAAGGTGAATATCCCCAAGGACTGTCTGGCTTTCCAGACCGGGGAGGCCCTGCAGCTTATCACGCGGGGAAAGTTCCGTGCTGTGCCGCATTTCGTGAAGGGAGCGAGACCGCCGGGTGGAGCGAGGATCGCTCGCAATACGTTGGCGGTGTTTACGCAGCCGAATCTGGAGGAAGAGGTCGAGCCTGGGAAGAGCTTTGCGGAGTTTGCGAGGGAGGTGGTGAGTAGGACTTATTAGTGTATAAAGAATCGTTTTGCCGCAGGTCACAAGATTGACCGGAGCAAGGTACATAAGGGAATAGGTGGTTGTTGCGGTATATATCGAGCTCATGACGAGTCAAGGCCGACAGGCCTTTATTTGTGTCAATCTCAACCTATCAATTAAAGAATAAAAACCATGGGTAGGTATCTGGCATCAAAGATCATGCTTTGGCCGCTTCGCCGTATGCTCATCGTTCCCAGGCGCGTAGTCTCCACCTTCCGTCTCCTCAGTCCCTCCTCGTAGGTCCTCCAAACGCAGAGTGAAATCCTCCTCATCCTCGGGCGACTCTTCCTCTCCTTCGTCTTCAGTGTTCAGTCGAGTCTGGACATTGCTCTCGTCCGCCGAGCTKACATTGTTGCTCACATCCGTAATGGCCGCCCCCAGACCAGCGCTAACCAGCTTGCTCGTCTTGCGCACCTCCCCAAACGCCGATCGCGCTTTGTGGCTCGGTCGTCCGAGCTCGCCGGGGATCTTGGCCTCTCTGAAATCAGCCGCAGTGGCCCTGCCGTCGATGACCTTGAGATTGGCCCGCCACATCTTCACATCGCGGATTTCACTATAATGGCCGACGTCTTCGCCGTTCAGCGTCTCGACCGCCAGGGTCTGCGTTCTGAAGTCGCCCCAGAACCAGTCTTTGCCCTCCGGGATGCGCTCGTCCGCTTGCCGAGAGTATTCTCGTCCGCTCAGCACGCCGTGCAGATCCCGGCCCAGTGAGAGACTACCGAACAGCAGCCGCATGGCATCGGGTTCGTAGCACCGCCCGATGACCATCCCCTGGGAGATATCTACCGTCTTACCGCCGTTGAGACTGTACCAGTCGCCGTACCCGCTCATGCCGATGTACTGGAAGACGCTGAGAACTTCTTCGGGAGATAGGGGCTTGGGCGGCTGCATCGGGTTTTCGATCGCCGCTCGCTGGCGGTTATTCGTGTAGACTTTGCCTCCAATGCGCACCTGATATCGCTCTGCGAGCTGGTCTGACTTGATGTCATCACTGCATTGGATCAGGTCGAGCCGGATCTCGTCGATCACCATGACGTCCGTAACTGCTTTTTGGCCGCTACTGAGCGAATAGCCCACCGGTTTCAGGCGAACGGCATCTCCTGCAATGAGAAGTTCCGCCCCAACGAATATGCCCATACAGTAGATGGACGCATTCGGCCACCTTCCTCGAAAATGAAATTTCTCAAGCAGGCTGAATGACGACATAACGGTCATGGCGTACTCGATTGAAGGATGCAATTCATCCCGGGGCATGTTCTGCAAAAAGAGCTCGAACGCATTGAATGGCTTGATACATTTCAAGTGAACGTACTTGTACTGCAGGGAGTAGCTCTTGTCCGGGCTGTTGGGATCGGGGAACGTCTCGACACGGAATCCAGAATAATTCACTGCCCACCCCTTATTAACCGTCTCGACTAGATCCTGCAACACCGTGTCTTCCTCTGGGACCTGGCCGACGATGCCCGCTCGCCACTCAGGAACGCCCATGAACCGATCAAGCTCCGGGTCGTACATCTCAACGCGTGCGTGTTCTGGGTTCCAGGCCAACTCGCCCTCAAAATTAGGAACCCAGAGGACAATTTCACCAGCGCGAGGGACATAGGAAGGCTGCATTGTTAGTTTTTGCAGATACTCCCCCAGGCCAGGCCTTTCAGACTTCCAGTCCATGCTTAAAGGTTCTGAGATGGGTTCATCTAGTTCGCCCCTATCCTTGAGTTTCATTACGGCCATCTTGAAGACGTCTGGTGTCCCTTCCCGGTCAACAATAGGGTTCAACGGTGGTCTTCCGGGCGGCCGGCCGAGTCGACCGAGCGGCCTTCCAGGAGGTCGACCAGGTGGCCTCCCTGGCGGTCTACCAGGTTTACCGGAACCAGGAGTACTGAGTGACCCGGTTGATCTCCCTGGACCTCTTGCGGGCAGGCCATCTATGAGACACTGTCAGTTCTGACGGTACTTGCGAGCGAGTAACACCAGGAAAACAACCTTTGATGCGCTGATTCCTCTTTGCCAATTTCTCGCAAAGAACGCAGGGGCACGGTTCTTTCCCGCCCTTCATCAGGTATAAAAAGTGTGGAAAGAACTGGATCGTAGAGGGGAAGTACTGCCCAAGTGGGTGTCCCCAGAGGAACCGATCACGCTGTGCCGTCGGTCAGTATATAGCTCTGAAATCAAAGGTCTTCAGTAGCAAGACCTACGATGTCTGGATTTGTCCCACGCGGCCTGTCAAAGACGGCATAGCCTTCTGGCAGACTGTCTATGACATAGTTTGTTCCTTGGTTCATAGTTAGTTGAAGACTTTGGACTCTATTTGACAAGATGCACAAAAGAACAAAGAAAGGGGACACATCGCGAATGGCCTTTAGTGTTGACAAGATTGCTACAATGAATCCAATCGACTGCTCCGACCCGTCCATATCCGGCGAAGAAATTGAACAAAATGTTGAGATAAAGTAGTTCATGAAATGATTCTAGGAAGCAAACATTGAATCCTCTGAATACTCGGACAAGTACTCCTGCAAGGCCAGAAGCAGACAACACGGAGCCTCGAGCGTAATACAGAAGAAACATCAAATCCGATCGTCGAGAACAATAATGCGAATGAAGAATTAGAAATCAGTACGTACCCTCTTCATAAGCCCCCGTCTCCTTCAGCCAACTGATGGCCAGCTTCTCACGATACCATGTATCGTCCGGCATCCCGAATCGGGGCTCTGTAGGCCAAGTAGACGGGTCGCCATCACTGAATGACCGATCAATGGGGATAGTGATTGTATCTGCATCCTCTTCTGAGGTTTGCGAGTGTGGAGAAGCTGACATGACTGTGCCGATGGAAGTATAGATAGACCAAGGAAGTAGTTTGATGTCGTGTTGCGGGAAGCAGGAGCTAAGAGGACGATCGTAACATGTTGGGAGTCATAGAAATGAGGCTTCTCTGCACTTCACTTTCTAGGCAATTTGATGAAAAAGTGAAAGATGGTATGACATTTCCTATCTTTTTTTTTTCTCGTGTCTAAAGCTCGCTTGATTGTTGCCGAATTAAAGCTTAATAGAGGTTTGAGTTGCACTTGAGGATTTCAACGCGGTCGTACGTCAAATAGCGGGAGGCGGCGGCCCGCTCGCTTGTGGACTACTCGCCTAGAGGCGAATACAGGGGAGATATTAACAGCAAAGTACTATGCTTTTTTTGTTCTATTTTGAGGTAGTGCAGTTAAAGGAAGTTACTTGGTGATCGTTCGAGCATATCAAATAAGCAACAATTAGGGAGGCGCGTCGTGCTTATATATGACGCGTCCAAGCCACCTCTCTGCACAATGGTCTAATCAGTCGGAACTGAGTTTTGAGGAGCTCAATTTTGAAGACCTGCCTATACGTCTCAATGCGACTTAACTTGAGGACCTATATACTTGAGACCCTTATTTATCATACCACGTGGTTGCAAGCATCATCTGATTGTTTTGAATGATGATATTGCGGCCCTCCCAAACATGGCGTTTCACCTCATTAACGTGGAGAAGCCGGAACACATCAACCTTTACTTGTGAGAATGGCATCTGATGGTCTGTGGGAGCTTCTGGGCAATGATGAAGTTGTCGCATTAATGGGCCGGTGGGTAGATCAACAGGAGGCTATCAGGCCTGATAAGGGCAAGGGGGAATGGGAGAAGTACATGCCAGTCAGCAGTGAGGGTTCCGCAGGGCTAATGCACCGAGGGCCACGGGGCTCCGGATCAGTCCATTCAGAAGATAGGTTTGTGCTGGAAGATCGGAACGCCGCTACTCATCTTCTGCGGAATGCGCTGGGCGGTCGGCTACATGATGCTCAGATGGCGTGTGCCATGCTCACTCTTTCGTACCCGCTTAACAGGAGGCATCGAGACGATCTCTCAATCATGATTATCTTCTTTGGTGATATCCGGGACACTGCAGCGGAGAGAAAGAGTTAGGTAGCACACGTCTATATTGTCGGACTTCGACGAGTTACATCCATATGCAGATACAATATTGAGCTCTGTAACCTGAATACACCACTCGCGTAGTATGTCTTGCAATAATCACCTATTCCTGTGTCTTGTCGATATTGGCCTCTTCCGTTGTTTCCTTCGATACTTCAGCCACAGCTTCTTCGTTCCCCAGTTCATACGGTGGTGGAGCAAGCTCTCCCTCCTCGGCCCAGACCTTATGCAGCTCCTTGTCAATTTCTTCACGGCGTTGCTTCCACTCGTCAACCTTGTCCAATCGCTTGCGAAGCTCTTGGATCTCCTTCTCAACACCCAGCTTCTCCTTCTCCGTGCCGATTTTCTCAAACTCCCACTGTTCTCCTTCCGCGCCTAGACCCAGGGTGAGGCTGAAAGTGTGATACTTCTTCAAGGACGCGCGTGTCGAGATCGTGATCAGAGTGATACCTCTGTCCTTGGCCTGTTCATACAGCACGCCCTCGACGTCCGAGGAAACTGCTGAGGTCCCTTCATCAAGGAACGCATAGCGAGGCTCATGGTAGAATAGTCTCGCCATGGCCATGCGTTGCTTTTCGCCACCGCTGAGGACGTCCTTCCACTCTTTGCGAGCATTCCAGCCACCTTCACGGGCAGGCAGGTATCCCAGACGAGCATCTTCCAAGATCTTCTGAAGGTCAGCATCTGTTCTACCCGCCTCGCGCATGTCAATCTCGGTGTGAGGGTAAATGACTTGATCTCGCAAAGTCCCCACGCTGAGATAGGGCCGCTGAGGGAGGAACATGATGCCGTCAAGCCCAAATCCCCGGGGCCGACTGACCAGCCCACGGTAGACCGGCCACAGACCCGCAACAATCCGAGCAATCGCCGATTTACCTACTCCATTCGGCCCTGAAATAAGGAGGTGCTCACCGGAATGCACGATAAAGGACAGCGATTCAATCAACTCATCTCCGCCTCGAGGATGGAGAGCCGGTGCGATAATTGGCACTTGTTCCAGCCGCACTCCGTCGAATCCGTTGTGGATGGTTCCCTGTGCATCTGCCAGAGAGTATAGTTCCGCATGAGAGCCACGCGGAGGGTAGTAGGCATTTGCATGAACTCGGTGAAGTGTGGAGATCAGGGTGTAGACCCGCGACGTGTAGCCGGCCAACTCAGAAATGTCCTTGATGCTGTACATCATGCGGCCACCGGCATCAGCCAGTGAAAGCATCAGACGCTTGTTTGTGATGAACCCCTTCATGCGGCCCCGTTCGCGACCAGTCTCTTCGTAGGCATCGGCCAGCTCCAGAGCACCGCCTGCACCTCCCCACGCGGGAAGGAAGACCGGCAAAGACGTGATTAGATATCCAAAAGCCGACCAGGCGTATTTCAGAATGACGTCCTCAAGCATGTTGTAGCGGATCTTGAGGCTATAGATACCTTCCATCCACCGCTGCAGATCTTTGAAGCTCCGAAGGAGAAATACTCGCTCAATATCTGCGCCACCGTAGAATGAAATCTCCTCGGCATTGGCAAGCAACCTGGAATGCAGACCTCTAAAGTCTCCTTCTTTTTTGCCCTCGACAGCCTTGAGCTTCCCAAAAGGCGGTGACAGCTTGCGAAGTATCACTGCCGTACTGAAATAACCGGTGAGGATGCCACTAAGGGCCAGAGGTCCTAGGGAGCGGTACAGCTGATAGTTGAAGACGAACAAATCCACTAATGGCTTTCCCATAGAAGAGTAAAGTGCTGCTGCTGCCGAGCAGAAGAGTGTGAGGTCCTGTGTGATAAACTGGTCCGCTCCTTGATCGATACCACCATCCAAGTTCAACAGTTTGTAATAGTTGTTGTCCGTGACGTAGAGATCGTGGATATACCTCGTGAGCCGTGTCCTAAAGGCGATAGAGACTTTCGACTGAAGGAACTTGATCATGGCGTTGGTATAAGAGGCGAGAGTACCGATACCGCACCACTTCACGAGACCCCACATGAACGCTCGCCCCTTACCCGCGACGAGGTCTCGGACAATTGCACCGTCCAGTCTTGCGATCAGCAGCGACAAGTATGTTCTTAATAGCAGGAATACACCGTGGCCCATCAGTAGCCCCGTCTCTTTGCTACTCCACCGAGGAACCATAATACTCCACAGACTGAGGAACTGGTGTAGAAATGCCAGATTCAGTCCCGGCTTTGTTGTTGGTGGAGGGATCATCGAGCCGGATTCCTCGTCATTTCCCCGAGCTGACGCTGGTGGGTTCAGAAACAGCCTCCTGTGTGCATCGAATGTCGTAGGCTTCGTCGGATGGATCCTGACCTTTGAGGTCTTCGAGTCCTTGTAGGGCACATAAATTGTGCGAGATCCATCCTTGCCCCTGATCCCAGAATTTCGACGCAGTAACCTCCTACCCTGCGCACGCTCCTTCACCTTTCGCTGATACCAGTTATACCCTCCATATCCGCTTCCTATGATCGACAACAGAAGAGCTAGCGTTGCAATTAATCTAGAAGTCTTCGATGACTGCTTGACTCGAGTCCGGATGAGATTGGCGTAATGAGTGTACAGCGCAACGAGAGGGTCTTCTCGAGCTCGGAGCGTTGACTGAGCGGCCATCGTACTTGAAATAGTGCCCTTCTGTTCGTATCGGTGACCGTTCTTCGTCGGTCGGATTTCCTTTGCGGGAGCCAACACACCTATGTCAAGGCGTCGTAGGCCATGAGGGGAGGGCGCCTACAGTTTAGACGCGCTTGGTGATGTAGTAAGAAAGAGAGATTTCATGAATGTCGAAGTCAGGAAAGAGGTCTCTCCAAGGAATCTCCCCAGTTGAATATGAGATACGATATGGCCACCAGTAGTCTCGATGGTTGATGCTGTTGTCAGCAGTCTGGTGCTAAGTAGTGCGGCTTCCATCTGCATGTGAAGACCTCGGGCCAAAGAATGCGGAGTGGCAGTTCCACAGCTGGCCTCACGTGCGGAGCCCCCGGATTCTTACTCTTGGTAGCTGTTGACATCATTTTGCAATTGACGTTTAGGTTTCTGTAGATATAGTTTATATAAGCTAATTCCAGGAACAGTCAAATATCACGATCGAAGGCAAAAGCTGCCCATCTACCCAGCGATTTAATCTAAATTTATGCCTGCTGGGAGACCCAAGGCTATTTACTAGGAGACCAACCGGGCCATTTGTATACTACTTCTGTGAATCGGTCGATCTTCGAAGCTGGGTTCCCCGAACGTTTAGCAGATTAAATCGGAGGAACACCCCCGAATTTCGAATCATCTCAAAACCTATGAGGGAGACCATCTTCTGGAATGCCCTATGTCCCTCTCATCATACTCCATCTCATTGTCATCTGTTAGAACTCGACGGGCTCACGCAGTTAACGAGTTCATTTCAGCCTCTAATAGTCAGTCGAGTGTTGCAGAAAGAAGGAAGCTGCTTCTGATTCTTCAGTAATGATAGCCTAGAGCCCATCTCGGATTAATCTGTAGGAAAGCAAATGAAACATGGATGGAGGGATGGATGGATGGCGAGGTGTAGTGCGCCCAAGTGGTCCCAACCACTATTACTGAGAAGGGTAGGACTAGAGAGGAACAAAGGATCGGATTCGAGGATTCTGAAAATGCTGAGAAACAATCCACTGAAAAATCGCTGATCAGAAAAGACCTAGAAAGACCTAAAAAGACAAAACGACATGATCATTCGGGTCTCCGTCGTGGACTGAGAAACTGTCCATTCCAAAGCGAGGATTTGGCGCCTGCTTATGGACCATGGAGAACTAAGGTGGAGATGATGGGCAGGGATCTTGTGAGAAACCGTCAAATCAGACCTCAGGACATCAACGGAGACTACGGTAGAAGATATTCTTCATGATCTCCACTATTCAAGATGCCTTTCGCCAGTGGATGAATCAATTCAATAGTCGTCTCCCGTAGATCTCCCTGTCAGTCACACTTGAGTTATCTGAGAGTCTGAGTACGTGCGTCAGTAATACTATGCGGTTTGCGACATTAGAAGGGGGGGGGGAAGTAATCCTCCATGACTTGGTCATGAGAGACAAAAGAATGCGGCACTTGGGGAGGGGTGGCACAACAATGTGGAAACACAAATCACTACCTTAGCCGCGAGGACACATAGTACGATTTCAGTATCAGATAGGACTAATATTGACATCTGAGAAGCTACATGATTTTGCCCAGACATCGAATTGGGATATTGACCAAGTAAATTCACCAATACTACCTAGAAAATCAGCCTGTTAAATACCAGGGTACCTATTAGTGAGAAAGGGGAATCAGTGGGTCACTTTCACGGCAAAATAGAGAACATTGGGTGAGGTGGATAAGGGAAGGCTGAAAAAGACGGAGACTCGCTATGCCTCTCTAATCCTACAAACAATGACAAACAAGCAATGAGACATGGCAACTTTTGTGTCCTACCCAATTTATTATTACTATGCCTTCAGACATACTTCCCACTGAGCTGCGCGGGAACTGCAACCCAACTCTACCTAGCTGGTCTGCATGATGAAAATAGTGCGTTAAGACGCATTACGGATTTACAGGGAAAGTTGATCCTTCTTCCAGCTTGATCTGATACCAATATGATTGGCTTAGATTATATAGTGTGCAATAATAGTAGTAATCTGCAGCCCTGCATCAGTGCATCAGTGCATCGTCTCAAAGATCCAGAGTCCAGACCAATGTAGCTTGTATTTTCCTTCTGTTTCTCCCCATCGCAGACTAAGCGCACGGCACCTCTTCCCAACTTTCCCCTCTCTTGGGCTTCTCCTCGCACGTTCTCCTCTCAGTCTCTCCCCTTTCCCACCCCCCGGACAGAGGTTGGCTAGCCAGTCAAGGAGCTAAAATACAGCCATCCCCCCGGACATTCCCATTATGGGCTTCTTTTTGGCTGATCCTACCAGTTAACATCTTTTGTTTCGTGCCATTGTAAAATATTATTGAATAACAGGTCCATTAAGGTCATAATTTAGCTATTAAGCGCACGAACCCACCTACTCAGAGGAAAATCCATTGCTGCAGATCCGATAACTTTCTGTCCGAATAAATGATCTTGTTTTCTTCCTGGCCTGCCTGAGCAAATATTAATGGACATCCTATCTTAGCCACTTTAAGCGAATTTCCGAAATCAGCCAACCTACAGCCGCTGAGGTCGAGTGGTACCTCTTTATTATTTGCGGTCCTGCCACGTGACTTCCTTGGCTCATGAGGTTGAATTCCATCCATCATCCATCGACCTCCGTCCTATCATACCATCCCAGATTGAAGCTGGAGCGCATTTCTCTCTTCTTCCTCGCCAGCTGTGTGTTTTTCTGTGACTCCACAGGGTGGATCGAGTGGTTTGGCGACTCGCAACTCTTCCTGCCACGACCTTTCTTAATAGTGCTGCACACTAGCCTCATTTAAGGCGGTAGTCCCGACCTGGAAGCTAAGCACTTTACCTCTCCGACTACTCGATCCAGGAGGCTGTGACTTACATCTCTCGAGCCGCGTTGCCCCCTCTCGGCGGAACCCTGGTGGTCATCAAGTGTGTGTTTCGACATAACACATCACCGTTATATCTCCTACGCCTCTTGAATTTTGTTATTGTTGATTCCGCGAATCTCGCTCTGCTAGCCTCCAGATGCTCGGAGGGAGCTCCGAGCGAGATTCTCCGCCCAACACATCCAGTAAGCCCACAGGAGAAGTGCCGATGCCTGTCAACGCGGGCAACACCGACTCAGGTAAGAGCAATCTGTTTGTCGCTGCTGTCATATTCCATCACTGCGGACCGTCGCGGACCCTCACAAGAGTTGCTAACGCTGTTCCGACCAGGTCCTGGATCGTCGCTTCAGGACAATGCCAAAGACTCAGATGCTTCTCCTCAGTCGAAACCGTTAGAGCCTACTGAGCCTGCTTCTGCGCCCACGCCATCGACTCAGGCCCTCGGGAGCCCGAATCCCCCGACAAATACGAGCGATCCGTCGAAGCAGCAACATTTGCTGGTCCCAAGTCAATCGCGTTCGTCGTCGAAGGCGGATGGTCAATCGACGTTAGACAATAGACAGGATGCCGCGCATGATGATTCGGAAAACACGCTACGAGGTTCGAGAAGAAGCATCTTGAAGGGGCGGAGGGACAGAAGTAGAGGGAGTAGCAAGAGGTCTTGGCGGCCATCTCAGGGGCCAACAGGTATGGGTGAGCAAAAGACAGCGACTGAATCCGAGACGCGGGACAATCCCAAACCAGAAAACAAGCCCAAGGTTACGCTCAGGCTGTTCGCCTTTCTAAGTTGCTGCTCGTCATCTGGGGTCGACCCGGACGACTCTGCCATTCCGCCGAAGAAGACTGCGAGGCGACCTTCGGTCCCTGCGACCCAGCCGACACCAGAGAAAGCGGATCTCAATGCCAATCATTCGAGTCGGACGGAATCTGAAGAAGCAAAACTCTTTGGCGAAGAGAAGCCGAACTTGACTGTAACTTCAAATCAACCTCCCAAGGAGGAGGATAAAACTGCCAGTGCCTCCGAGGAAGGCGCTCAGCTCGATGGCAACTTGTCAGCTTCTGATAGATTCGGGTCCAGCCATGAACCGTCCTCCCAGTATGGCCAAGTTGATACTACTCGCTCTGACGCCCTTCAGAATGCTCAAATCCCAGTCATAGTGGCAACTGAGACAGAGAAGGCCAACGATCTCGCGATCAAACCGGAAGAGCCTGCGGCGTCAATGCCACTGCACGTTGTTGAGGACCGCTCAGGCTCTAACGAAGCGCAACCAACTTCGTCTGCAGTCGAATACAACGATGTAAAGTCATCGCACGAAGAAGAAACTAGTCTGCAAGCCGAAATTCCTCTCCCTCCCCCTCCGCAAGTTCCTATGGGGAAACAAATACAGATCGCGACTACCGAGAGACCCCAGCAATGGCTTCTACCCCCTCCCTTGCCACATTTGCGGAACCGGAAATGCCTGGTCCTCGACTTGGATGAAACGCTGGTCCACAGTAGCTTCAAGGTAATTCGCCATCCTCTAAGCCGTTTCATGTAGTGAGCCGCATGTTTCTGACACACCACCGCAGGTTCTCGAGCGTGCCGATTTCACAATCCCCGTGGAGATCGAAGGCCAGTACCACAACATCTACGTGATCAAACGACCTGGAGTCGATCAATTCATGAAGCGTGTTGGAGAATTGTACGAGGTGGTTGTCTTCACTGCCTCTGTTTCTAAGGTGAGCTTTCCTATCCCAATACCATTTCACGGACGGTTTCTGATTTAGATGAAAGTACGGCGATCCTCTACTGGATCAACTTGACATCCATAATGTTGTTCACCACAGGCTCTTCAGAGACAGTTGCTACAACCATCAAGGTAATTATGTCAAGGTCAGTAGCCTCCTTTTGCAGCGAAGATCATGATGAGAGCAAGCCATTGATATCTCTACTATAGGACCTCTCACAGGTTGGCCGTGATCTCCGAGAGACGATTATCATCGACAATTCTCCAACTTCATACATTTTCCACCCTCAACACGCGATACCCATCAGCAGCTGGTTCTCTGACGCCCACGATAACGAGCTTCTCGACTTGATTCCTGTCCTCGAAGACCTTGCCGGCGCACAAGTAAAAGACGTCAGTCTGGTCCTCGACGTTGCGATGTAATCTCTGTAACTTTATCTCTTCCCGGCATTTCCCCCATCGAGCTACAGTCTCGATCTTTTACGTGATTGCAAAAAGAACAGCTCACCTGGAACCGATTTCAATTGTTCGAGACATACGGAGGCGCGTCTTTCGTCATTCAAGCACTACCAAGATCAGGAGAAGAAGAGGAGAAAAGTGCAAGCATCTTTTACCAGAATCTGCGAGGGTCACAGCTTATGTTGGAATCTACCATAATCACTTCTTCTGATGTTTTGCCCCTATCCCTTCTTCTATTCTCCCTTCCTGTGACCCATATAGACGTGTGGGGCCAGCATTTTGGTTTCGCCTGTCTGTGATTTTCTAGACTGAGTCTTACCTATTCATCATCCATCCTATTTCTTTTTTCCAGCATCCTCTCTGATCACATCTCCTTTACTTCTGCACTCCAAGCGAGCACATACCATATCACCCCCAGTTTGGCTCCCCTTCTCCCTTGTTCTTTTCATTGATCTGTTGCCGTGTGAGACTCTCTTGCATCACGCAGGCGTCTATCTTGGCTTGTAGCCGAAGCCTAGGTCTCATATACACGCTCCTCTGTCACCAACATTCTCTTTGCTTCAAATCCCTGTGCTTCATTCCCATCATCAACGTCCCGCCAGAGCGCACGCCGCTGTCCAGTCCGTCGATACCTTTCTTTGTTGTTTTGTGATTACCCCTTCAATGCCAGCGTCCTCTTGTCATTCTTCAGTCCTGATTCGTTTCTTGGAACTCTGCCTAAGGAGCGGAATCTCCATAAAGGCCCCAGTGTGCAGGTCACTGTCCCTGGTATTTCGCAAAGCATACCGTTGATTCTACACTTGGCCCAGAATTGTGACCTTTTAATGTATATGTACCTCTTGGCTCCGGCGCATGTGCTGTATATAAAAAGCTCTTCCCCGAATACAGCTTGAACCATGTCCCGATGACAATACCCTAAAGAAAACAAGGCAAAGTAATTGCAGACCTCATTTTCAGAATTAATGGATTACATCTAATTCTTCTATAACATGGACATGATGCTGGCGGACTGTCCCTTGCTCTTCTAACAGAAGGCGGACGGGGAAATGCGGCCCAGTGATGACTAGCGAAGAATACTCATCATCATCATCTGCACGCCACCACTATAGCACCAAAGACTTTCACGTTCAGGATACAGAGCTTCTTTCTTTTTAATGTGACTTCACCCATCTCAATTCCCAAATAACTGCGCTCTGCGAATTCCTTCTAGACCCTCTATAAACGTGTTCACCTACCCGCTTCTGCCCCTCTTTACGTAGAAGAGCTCCCCCGCACTCCGTTACGCGTTCCTCGGAGCCATCGACCAAAAAAAAAATCTCCGTCTGAGCTCTCACAACATTTTGCAACGATGAAAGATAGTAAAGGCTGGGATGGAAAGCTAAGAGTCGAGCCTCAGGCTACGATCACGAATCCAGAGGCCCTGGAGGATCCAAATTACTCCGATTCTGATGCGCCGCCGGTTGACGAGATTGAGGCTGATGAGGGTAGGTCAATTTCCCTCTTTGAGACGTACCGGAGCATTGGCTGCAGTTGTGTCCCAGACTAATATTTGACTGTCGGCGCGTTTCGGGGGAAATTCGAATGGCTAATTGTTGGCAGATCTGCTCGAGGATGAGGATCTCGAGACGCAAGTATGTTTTCGTCTACAACAGGGTCCTAGTTTGGGAACTCGGGGCTTATGACTTGCTAGGAAATCGACCTCGTACATTGTCGCGTCACTTCGATCCCAGCTTTGCGACTAGAACGATTTCCCAAGCTCCAGGTATGTTGGGCCCGCAGCAGCCCATGCGGCTTACAAGGCTAACGGTATGATTCATGTAGAGAATATGCCTCCGACAGAACCAGATTTCTCGCATCGACTTCCCCTCCGAAATCGCGCCCACGCTGTTCGAACTCGACCTCTACGATAACCTTATTTCGCACGTCAAGGGTCTCGATGAGTTCCGGGACCTGACGAGTCTAGATCTGAGCTTCAACAAGATCAAGCACATCAAGAATATCTCGCATTTGGTGAATCTGACAGATCTGTACTTTGTTCAGAACAGGATATCCAAGATTGAGGGGTTGGAGGGCTTGACTAAGTTGCGGAATCTAGAGCTGGGGGCAAACAGGATTAGGGTGCGTGGATTTTAATGACACGAAGGAGGACTGGGCTGAATGCAGCAGGAAATCGAAAATCTTGACACTCTAACCTCGTTGGAGGAGCTCTGGCTTGGGAAGAACAAGATTACAGAAATGAAGGTTAGTCTCCTAGTTTGCCATATCCCCGACCAGCTAACTCAACCCAGAACCTCGACGCGCTGTCGAACCTCCGCATCATCTCCATCCAGTCGAATCGACTCACCAGCATTACTGGCCTCTCCTCGCTCAAGAACCTCGAAGAACTCTACCTATCCCACAACGCCGTCACCGACCTCAGCGGTCTCGAGTCCAATACCTCGTTGCGCGTCCTGGATTTCTCCAATAATCAAGTTTCGAAGCTGGAACACATCTCCCATCTGAAGAATCTGGAGGAGCTGTGGGCGTCCAACAACGAACTCTCGAGCTTCGAGGAGGTGGAGCGCGAGTTGAAGGATAAGGAGAAGCTGCAGACGGTATATTTTGAAGGGAACCCATTGCAGACCAAGGGGCCGGCGGTGTATCGAAACAAGGTGCGGTTGGCGCTGCCGCAAATTATGCAGATTGATGCGAGTAAGTTTCACTTCCGTGGCTGTTCAGGCCCTAGGATGGGTTGCTAACGTTTTCTAGCCTTTGTTCGGGTCGGGTGATGTTGTATGGAAGGTATACATTGATAATGATTATGATAACAATGCTTTCGTGGGCTGGATCGCCCGAATTCCCTTTCGCCTAGACTATGCAGCTATAGGAGGCTTCTCTATGTAGAAATAATGTATGGCACATTCATGGTCAATGACATATGGTTGACTCTGCCAACTGTATTCGTAAGCCTTACAAAATCAGCTCGCGAGGTAGTCGGTGTATGGCCTCATGCGGCCGTACGGTATACCCTCTGCCAGCAATATCTGGCCTTGAACGCGGTGTATACGCGTTCTGGTCGTCTCAGTGCCTGCCAACCGACTCGCTTGTTTTCCAGCAGCCTGGAGTCGGCGCAAAAGTATCCACATCCACGGTGATGAGGTGAAGTCTCTGCATGCTTTTTGACCATGTCGAGACCAAAAGTCGATACGAAGCTCTGGTCGCACACTCATCCACTCATCTCTCCCCCAACCTATCCACTCCAGGCTCAGCCCGGTTCCCACTCTCATCTTCCTCCTGCAAATGCCCCTCCTCCCCATCCTCGACAATATTCTCCCCAAGACCCTCCCGATACAACCTCATCAACGACGTGGCACCCAACCGCTTATTCTCCTTCATCATCTGCCTCTTCACCCGGAACGGCTCATGCCGCTTCCGACTCATCGTCTCGTCAGCCAGTTCCTTCAGCGGGATCCCCGTCTTCACGAGATCCCGGTACTGGTACGTCGAGTCGTAGACGCGGAAGGTCCCGTGGAAGGGGTTCCGCTGCAGCGCAGACTCGTGGTTATGCCGGGACGGGAGGATCTCGCATCTCAGGAACTCTGGTTTGGATCGTGCGTCTGGTTTTCTGGCTCTTAATGGTGATGATGGCTCGGACTGAGTGTCGTGGTTATGGGTATGGGCAGGGTCGGTGTTGGGGAGGCGGATGGTTAGCGGGGAGGAGGAGATGGCTTGTTTTGCGGCGTCGGGGGAGTCGAAGATGGCGAGGATGGGCCGTGTGGGCGCTTTAGAGGTGTTGGTCGTGTCGTACTTATTTTTGATCCATTGTCAGAATGAGAAGCGAGCTGGGGTGGAAGAGGACGTACCTTGAGATTTCGGAATGTGACGACTTCGCCGAACTTTTGTAGAGCGTTGAGGATGAGTTTGCTTTCGGCGAGGTTAATGGGGCTGGGGTTTGCGACGATGTGGATTGCCTGCGACGCGAGGCGCCCGGCAGGAGAGGGCATTGTGGTTGGGAAGTTGATTCTGTTTTATGCATTGATCTGGTGCGGATCCGGGTCGAAGTGGTGATGGTGAAGGCCGATGATGCTGTTTCGGCGTGTTGTCGCTCCGATAGCCGATCTACCTACGCAGTATCAAACCTGCAGCCTTTCACTATTCTTCGGACTAGAATACTGGCTAGAATATGATGCTACTAGGATATTCATTGTGAGTATAGTTTCATGCGATCTATTCACGAATGCATGCAATCGAGGTCATAACTATATACTGGAAAAAATATGGTATTTTATTTTAAGCGTAGGACATCAATCATCATCCACCAACGGACCAAGCAGTTATTTCCCCGAGTGCAGTGCTGCGGTATTGCTCGGACCACCGGAATCTATCCGTGCGTTTAGAAGATGGGAGCGTAGAAGCCGTACTAAAGGAGAAACGAGTTAGTGATCTGAAATGGCATCAAGCCGGCTAGGCTGAACTTACAGCAAGAGGGTCGTTGAATCTGAGGTTCCGGTTCAGGGAGCTGATGGCCTCAATCTCGCTGGCCTCCAGATCCCAGCCGGTGGCATCAAGGTTCTGAGCCAGACGGGTGGGGTCGTTGCTCTTGGGGATGACGGCAATGTTGCGCTGCGTAGCCCAGCGCAGCAGGACCTGAGCGGGAGTCCTGCCGTGCTTCTGAGCAATACCCTTGATAAGGTCGTGGTCGAACAGCTTGGGAGTCTCATGAGCATCCTTCATGTCCAGCTCGACGAAGCTCAGGGGGCCGAACGAGGAGTACGCAGTCACGGCGATGCCCTCCTTCTGGGCATAGGTGACCAGGCGCTCCTGGGTGAGGTAAGGGTGGTGTTCGATCTGGAGGGTGGCAGGGCGGATACGAGCGTAGCGCAGCAGATCCATCAGCAACTGAGCGCTGAAGTTGCTGACACCGATGCTGCGGGCGAGCTTCTTGTCGACCAGCGACTCCATGGCGGTCCAGGTCTCCTGAATGGAGGCATTGCTGAACTCCAGCTTGTTGTTCTCGGACAGCCACCCGGGAGGGTACCGGACGGCAGGATCGACATACTTGAGGGCAATGGGGAAGTGGACAATGAACAGGTCGAAGTAGTCAATGCCCCAGTCGGCCAGCTGCTTGCGGCAGATGGGCTCGACGCGCTCACCGTCGTGGAAGCTGTTCCAGAGCTTGGACACAATGAAGAGCTCTTCACGCTTCACAATGCCTTCCTGAATGGCACGGGCAACACCCTTGCCAGCCTCGACCTCGTTGCCGTAATCTGCGACGGTCAGGACTCTGTCGGTTTGCCTTTTCGGTGGAGATCGAGAACATGAGGTTTACTCACCGCAGGCGCCGTCGAAGAGACGGTAACCAGCCTTGATGGCATGGTAGATCTGGTCGGCGCAAGTCTCATTGTTGACCTTCCAGAGGCCGAAGCCCACGAGGGGCATGTCATAACCGCTGTTGAGCTTGACGGATGGGGTAGTCATTGTGAATATTTTGATTCCAACAGAATTGAATCTCTTTTGACCCTGAGACGGATAAGAAAACTCTCAGAAGAAGCTCTTACAGTACAGGCAATCGATCGCAATAAGACGCGGGACTTACAAGAAAGAAGAGCGGTAGCTGGCGGATATTATTCTTCTCAAGTAGTAGGAGGGGGAGGGGCAGCAGATAAAAGGCACGCGCGCATCATGGTCAAAAATCATCTCCAAATTTATCTGGCCTGAGCCACTGGCTGCTCCATACCAACCCCATCTGGGATAAACCCGGCAGGGGGAATTGCGCTGGGAAAGCCAATGAGCCGTCGACGGAGCTGGAGGTTGAGGCTAAAGTGCGTTGGCAAGTGGGATGATGGTTAATACCGGCTAATTAACTTGTTTCTGCCGCCGGCTGAATTCTACCGAAAAATGATCTCTCCAGCAGATAGAGAGAGGAACCAAGTTACCACGGATCCCGTCGGAGCGAAATTGGCTAGATAGTCCCGAAATCTTCGCTCTGAAGCATCCATAATCTATCAGCGGTTCGTGGAGTCCAGAAAATCCACCTGTAGTATTCCGGCAAAAAGTGAGGGCCGATATCGAAGGATTCCCCCACTATTCCGTCGACACACTGAAAGGACCGACATCAGGCGTAGAAGCAAAAGGACACGGTGCCATTAATATTACTAGAAAGATTTATGATACATCGAAGGACTTTGAGAATAATAAGAGAGAGAATGAGAAAACATATTAAGTAACTCCGAAAAGTGAACACCAACCCCTGGAGGAAACGACCCAAGCCCAACAGCAATGCTGCGCTAAGATCTCAATATAAAAGACACCGAAGTAGAGGAAGAAACGAAAATGGTATCTGAACACATTTTTGGCAATATGATTACCATTAAGAATAGAAAGAGTTTCCAATGGATATAGTATAGTCCTTCATTGGACCGCCTCAGCTGCATTAGTATCTGTATAGGCGGCACTGGCATGATCGGGTCCTGCCCCATTCATGCCAGGATCGTCAGGCATGCTGCCCACGATCTTGTCCATCAGGTCATCCGGTCCCATCAAGCCCTCGAAACCGTTTGGTGGGTGCGACTCGCGGGATGCCGGCGTGTGATGGTCGTGGTGATGGTACGGAAGGTGCGTGTAGTTGTTGGAGCCAACGTCGCTTGGAATGGTCGTCGAAGGAATCGGAGGGCCCCATGCGCTCTGGCTATGTCCGATTTCGTCCATTGACTGCGACCCAGAACCAAAGATATTGTTCAAAACATTGCTACTGTCGTGGACGCTAACTCCGTGTTCCTGAGAGGGCACGTAGTGGTTGTCGTGGCTCAGGGTGTACCCAGCAAGATTATGGTGCGAGAGGGACATGTCATGAACATTGAGCATCACAGGGCCGCCGCTGGAGACATTGAGACTTGATGGCTGACTGGTCTCCTGCGGCGGCATGCCTGAGAAGGAATCCAGGATGGAAGTTACAGCAGTTCTATCCTGTAGTCCATCTTCGCCTTTGGTGACTGAGTTCAAGAAATCGAAGGAGCCTGTCGGATGATACATATTGGACATGTTCTCATGCGGTGGTGGGTACAAAGGCCAATGCGGTTGAGAAGTTCCGGTGTGGTGCAACATGTCGTGAGCTTGAGGCGCGTGATATACGTTCGGGGGCTGTGGTTTCAATAAAATCGACTCGAGAGACAACGGGGGCAGGTCAATCCCCGTGGCCGGCTTGGGACTATTCATTATCGTTCGGTCGGGTGGAGGAATCAGCTTCCTCCAGGTTGTCAACCCAACCTCCTCGTCAGGTCGAGTCTGCCGGAACTTCCACAGTAAGATTGCCATCCTCTTTCTGCCGTCGCTGGGGTGGCCAGAGCCCTGATGAGAGACTCGCCGCGAGTTTTGAGGGATCGCTCGAATTTCTTGGACCGCGGACAGAGAGAGGAAGAACTTTCTGATAGTTTCATCCGCATTCTGGTGCTGTCCTGATTTTTCGGCCATTTGCTTGTCCTGCGTGAGTTCTGTGAATAGTTTCGCCCACCACGACGACTCAAATGGGGGTTTCACTTTGGTGGACACTGGTCTGGCAAGGTTGTGATCGGCCCTCGACATCCGATGGCCTTCATAGATGTATGTGGTACATGTCCAATTGTCCATCTGACTGAGTACCGTGGCATCAGTCATGCCAGGAGGTGCAAAGTCTATATCCAACTGAATCCCCAGCTTGGAACCCGGCGGGGGGAAATCATGCATCAGCTTCAGGCTCGCTTCGAGCAGAATGATCTCGCAGTCCAAGGGGCCGTCCAGCTCCTCAATCACG